GGGCTCCGGCGGGAACAGGTTCAGACCTGGCCGCGCTGCAGCCCGCGGGGAGCCGTGCTGGAGGAGGGAGCGTTAGCCGCCCTGGCCCGGACACTTCCCGTCGTCAGGCGCCACTTCCTTCAGGGCTGGGGAGCCCCGGAGCTGTGCCCGCGGGGGTGACAGGCGGCCTCAGTACTCCATTAGCAAGGCCTGTGGCATTTCCTGTTCGGGCCCGGCCGCCCAGCCCCGGGTCTCGCAGTCAGAGCCAAGAACCCGCGTGCTTGGGGCGGGGGTGATGTCTCACACTCCGCAGGGAGCCGCTGTCTGAACACGAGTCAGCAGTGAGTGCCCAGCTGGACAAGGCCAGCGGCATCCTGGCCTTTATCAGGAATAGTGTGGCCAGCAGGACCAGGGAAGCGATCGCCCCGCTGTACTGGGCACTGGTGAGGCCATACCTCGAGTGCTCTGCCCAATTCTGGGCCCCTCAGTTCAGGAATATTGAGGTGCTGGAGTGTGTCCAGAGAAGGAAAGAGCTGATGAAGGGTCTGGAGCAGAAGTTTTATGAGAAGCAGCTGAGGCAGCTTATTTAGCCTGGAGAATAGGAGGCTCACTACAACTCCGTCACAGGAGGGTGACCCCCCCCCGCCCCGGTGGGGTCGGGCTTTGCTCCCAGGGAACGAGTGACAGCACAAGAAAGAACATAGCCTTAAGCTGTGCTGCAGGGAGTTTAGGCTGGACATTAGGAAGACTTTCATCACAGAAAAGGTGATTAGACACTGGAACCGGCTGCCCAAGGAGGTGGTGGAGTCACCGTCCCTGGAGGTGCTGAAGGAAGACTGCACCTGGCACTTAGTGCCATGGTCTAGCTGACACGATCCAGTTTGGTCACAGGTTGCACTCCATCTCGGAAGTCTTTTTCAGACTGATTCTGTCCTAAAGCTGCCATTGCCCTGCTGGGCGAAACCCCCTCCCCAAACCTTGCTCGCCGCTGTGACCCCAGCTCGATGCAGCTGCACATCTGTAACCACTTAGGCCGCCCCAGCGTCTCTCGGTCGCTCGCCCGGCCCAGCAGCTACGTGCCGGCTGCTCGGGAGCAGCCCGGGGGAAGGAGGGGCGGCTGGCCCGGGCTGCCGGAGAGCCGCACAGGCGGCAGCTGCTGCCTCCCGCCCCCGGGGCGCGGCGGGACGGGGAGGGGAAGGAAATGGAGAAAGGGTGGGATAGGCAGCAGGAGCTGGAGGATCGGCGAGGCTGATTCCTATTGCGGCTAAGGCTCTGTAGGAAAGGATGGGAAACAGCAGAGCTGTGGCATATACGGTAAAGCAGGAGGAAATAACGTTTCCATAGCAAAACAAGATCTGTTTTTAGGAAAAGACAGTTCACTCAGTCATCCTTTGTCACTTCATCCGGTCTTCTTTGTAGAAGTAGCCCCGAGTTCATTTGCAATTTCGAAGTTACCTTCAGTTTGCTCAGAAATGTCAGGTCTCTCATGAAGCTGTGCATTCAGGTAATTATTCATGCCTGAAGCTGCTACACAGGCTGGCCATCCCCCGACTGGGTGGGCTGCGTGTTCCCTTTTGTTCTGACTCAGAGACCATCATTGATCTGACCAGGACCACATCATATCCTTTATTACTATGGATCCCATTATTGATCATAATTACCTCTGGAATGTCATAATATTCATCTAAGAAGTCATCTATAAGAGTTCTCTCCTTGCAGCAAGTACATACTATTGCTGAACAGAGTTTATGCATTACCTGGATATATTCCCACACCAGCACCCTTGGCATCACACAGATCTGAGTTTTTCATTAATAGCTTTGCTGATGTCTGCACTGTTATGCCTCTGGTTCCACAGTGTAACACACAATTCTCTAGGGTGTTTTTCCCCATGATGGATGTTTAAAACCTTCACAACTTCATGTTGCATTCACTTCAAACTGTAGATCTTATGGATTATGTACAGTCAAGAAAGATGTCTCCTTTTTTTTTGTGTATTTTACCACAATATAAAAGCCATAGCCTTTGAGTTCAACTGAATCAGCACTGCAGAGCAGGCCCCCTAGAACACGGTGACCAGGAGACATGATGACTGTGTCTGCTTCATAACAGGCATTTACAGCTGTCAGTGGATTACAATGAAACTGTATTTCTAGGTCTTTACCACAATCAGCAACAAGCCCAGAATCATACCATGTTCTCAGATGTCAGAATGCAACCTCAATCAAGGCTCAACACATGACACAAAGTAATCCCAGTCATCCTCCTCCTTCTCCCTGTCCGAGTCCTCCAGACACACTGGTAGAAGAGCTTGACATGCTCTACAGCTTGTGCTGTCTGGTCAAACTCTCCTGACTCACCACACACAACCCACAGCTCCCACATTGGTATCTGGTATCCTTTAAGCTTCAAAGGTTCCAGCTGTCCCGTGACTCACACAAGAAAAGCTGAGTTGCACAACTGCTTTCAGAGCCGAGTACTCCATATCAGCTACCCCAACAAGAACTTCAAACACATCTGTACACCAAACTTCCTACCATCTATGTGATGCAAAGACTTTTCCCAGGTACTCAGCTGTGAATTGTGTCACCTCTGAAGTTTTGCTGTACAAAGGAACAGTTTGGACCTTAGGTTCTGAACCAGAGCCAGTTTCTTTAAGCTCAAGGTGGTGCCTCTGGAGAGGGATCCCAAAGAAATCTCTGTGCTTCTATATCCTCACAGTCTGTGCACCTGATCTTCCTGCGCCATTGGTGGTTTATGGTCTGCAGTCTTCTAATACCTCATGGAGTTCTTCATGTCCACGTGGGCAGGCCGTTAATTGCTTCTTCCATCCTGGGGCACTTCAGGATCTCAACTCTTATCTGAAGACACCCAGTCTTTCTTTGTTTACTCCCCTGCTTACAAAGTTCATTTAAAGTTCCCTGACACCAAGCTTTCAGCAGGACCCACTCGTGCTAAACTGTCAGCACGTTACAATTAAACTTAACCCTAGACAATTTATTTCTAATATTTTATAAATAAACAGTAAAATCCCCAACACACAGTCAGCCAAGATATAATCCTGGTAATCTCTAAATTACTTGTGAAACAAAAGATGATCAGTGTGAAGAATATCTGGAAAAAGTACATTCCCGTTGGGCACAGTCTCTCCCAAAGCAGTGCCTGGTTTGTCATGATGATGCCTTAGTCACTCCAGGAGCCGTCACTCCAGACACTCAGCATATTCCTGGAGCAGATCTAGGCTCTGCCGCCTCGGCTGCTCCCGCAGGCCACCGCCTCCCACAGCTGGCGGCAGCAGGGCCTGACCCTCCTCCCGCGGCCCCCGGCAGCCCCAGCTCAGCAGGAATTCAAATAGGTATTCCCACAACAAATCCTCCAAGAACCTTTGAGCCTCCGTGGAGGCCCCTTTCGAGGCAGTGTGGAGGCTGTTCCCTGAAGGATCATGGCTCAGAGAGTTCATTTGCATTGCTCTTTCTAGTGATAGCATAATCTATATAAAGTTAAGTCCCCTGTCCTTATCCTTTTTTCTTTTTTTTTTTCTGAGTCGCTACAGTGAGAGGATCACAACATTTTTATAGGTTTTTCCCCCCTCCCAATATCCTCTCCAGTGAAACTGGAGGATATTTTATAGCTTAAGAACTACATCATCTATGTTTCTGACTAAACCAGTGAAAGAAAAATTGTGAAAGATTCTCCATCTTCGTTAAAAATCTGAGAAACTAGCGATGTCTCCTCATTTGGTTATTCTCAGCCAAAAGCAACTCTCACATCTCACATGTGTGAGAAACAAAACTCCAAAAGTCAAAATGGAAAAATCTGGACGGGTCTTTGCAAAACAATGCAGCCTTAAGTATTTACTAGAGAGCTGGAAAGAGATATCTGCAAAACAACCTGACAGGGGAAATGGAAATGAAGAAAGTAACTGCATACAAAGACAAGGAAAAAAAGTGAGGGAATCACTGGCCAGGATTGTCAGGAGACCTTTAAATCAAAAGGTAATTCAGAGCATATACCCAGAGCTTCTAGACAATTGGGAAGCATTGCACCTAGTAAGACACTGCAGAGCAGCCTGCCTGCTGAGGAAATGAATAACATGGGTGACAGGGAAAATGGGGCAAATCAGCTCAGCATGTCTCTCCTGGGAAGCCGGGTCACCACTGACACGCAGCAAGATCTCCAGAGCGAGTGGAAGTTCTGAAGGGATTTAAAATCACTGGCAGCCTGTATGAAATATGAATGAGATGCTCTCTTTGTCTGAAACAAGAGGCACAAGGGCTGGTTTAACAGGAGTAGGCATTGCCTCGACCTTTCCAAGCAGGTCGGAGGTGTAGATCCATCCTTAGCACATGGAGTGCTTTGAGCTGCAGCCGCAGCCTCAGAGCAGCAGGGCCGGGTCGAGCGGAGCTGCCGCCCTGAGCCGCCTTCCCTTGGCTGGGCAGGGGATGTGCTCGGTGGAAGGACGGGCTTGGCTTCAGTCCCTGAGAGCTGCGTGTGCTCCAGCCGTGCCGCCTCCCCGAGCGGAGCATCCGCGGCTGCGGGAGCTGCGCCGGCAGCCAGCTCCGGCTCTCCCCATCCCACAGCCCGCCTGCTCTGCCGGCAGCCCTGCCTGCCTGCTCCTCCGGCGGTGGCTGGTACCGGCTGGTGTGACCTGCGTGCCATGGGCGCTGGAAAGCAGCCACTGCTCCCTCCCGCCCAGCCCCCTTCCTTTCCGTCTGGAGCAAGCCTGTGCTGGGCTGTGCTTGATGCGTCGGGAGCTTTGCCGCTCCTTTCTCAAAGCTGCTCAGCCCCTGCTGAGCTGGCCAGACTTTCACACATTGGCTGCGGCGGGAAGGCTGTTTAGAGCTGGATAATGTTTATAAAACCGCAGAAATTAACAGAAACGCAGTGTCCAGGAGCAGGGCTGAAACTACCCTTTTAGAAGACAAAAAAACCCCAAACCAAACAAAACCAGACATGACTCAGCTCTGAACTGGAAGCTGTGAGCTGTCAGCAGTGCAGTTCTGTGCTCTGGCTAGTGACTCCTTTTGAGAGACAAGGTGTGTTAGCTCAAGCTCTCTCCATTACCAGTACGACTGCCTGTGGTTTGGAAGAGTTTTTTGGCGGTGATCCCACTGGTTCAGAACGAGGACAGAGCTTGCTTGCCTCTGCCTGCTAAAGACAACGTAGGCTTGTTCTGAGTCTGTATTGTTTCTCTCATAATTACTGTTTGATTAAAGCATTTAAGATACTTTTGTCTTTTTAATTTGGCTCTAGAATAGGGCAGGAGGCCCACTCCTAGTATACATAGTTTCCTTTAAGCCCAACCTGGCAAATTTTGATTACTTCTGAGATAGGCAGCATTATGAATCAGTCCTGAATGCTTCTGCAGACAAGCACATTCCTGCAGCAGAGCTCACCTAAAAAATCCAGAGGCAGATGGAAAACCAGCTAACAAGTAATTAAATTGGGCTGTTAGTCAAGAAACAAGGCTGTAGTAGCAGCTCAGCTGGGCCCCATAAGCCAGGCACAGGATACAACTTCACTGTGCAGTCTGCAGTCACAGTGGGCTGAATGTAAGAGAAAGTGTTTTTGTGTCGTTGCAGTGCCTTAATGTGTGGATCACCAAAGGTGGCTGGAAGTTCTGCTCAGCCTTCAGTGAGGGTAAGCTTCTCCTTCACTGCTCTGAGCCTGGATGTTACTCCTACCTATACTCCTACCTTTAAACAAGGGCAGTGGGCAAGTGGGGCCTGTAAAACAAACCAGGTTTGTAGTAAGCAGTGAACATTTGTGGACTAACTGTAGCTTGATGTTGGATAATAATGATGCTGGCATGAAATGTTAGTGGCTTACAAAATGAGAATAGCAGAGTCAGAGCACTCATCACCCCAGCTAATCCACGAACCAGCTAATACATGTCTGAATATGGCAGTGTTGGCTCAGCTGGGTGTTTGAAAAACTGAACAGTGATAGTAGGCAGGTGATGGGAGGGTGTGTGACTGTCAGCACAACAATGGCAAAGCATTAGGAAGAAATCTGTCTGCCTCAGGCCACCAGCCTCAGGCCTTAGGTTTTATGGCTGTGGGTATCTGATCTATCTACTAGGAGGCCATAGATATTAGGAATGACATGAGCCAAGAAGTGAGTTCTTTGTAAGAACTTGCACAGACTAAGATACTTTGTGAGCTAAAAGCATTGCTGCTGTTTTTACCCAAGCTTTATGCAACCAATAATAAATTGCTAAGAAGAGGTATTAGTATGTTTTGATTGCAGCAAATGGAGTGAAAACAGGACATAGGAAAGCAGGTAACCTTGCAGTAGTCCACCAGCTCTCTTAGCTTGCCTGGCTAAAGTGGTTTGGTTGGAGTTAAAAGACCCCTCACAGGCCCTCACTGTTGAAGTCAGTGAGTTTTCCCTTACAGCAGAAAGGAGCTGAAAGAAAGAGTGCTCTAATTACAGTATTTGTTTATGCTCTTCAACCAGGAGGATGTGACAAAAGTAAAGAGCAGTGTTTTCAGCAAGATCTACAGTTACAAGCCAATTCAGAGAAGGTGTTCTCCGTGGCAGGTGAGAATTGTGTTGTAATAGACATTGGCAGGGAGAAACAAAACCCAGATGATACCAA